AAATTTTTTAAATCTCTGAAAATTGTTTTATAAAACTTTATCAACTAGAAGCAAAAATGTGGACAAAAATGAATTAAAATCACAGAAAATTAAAAGTCATTAAAATAAGCTGCAACGCTTATTATTTTAATCCAATTTTGCTTATTTTAATTCATTTTGGTATTAAAATAAGCAAAATTGGATTAAAATAATAAACGTTGCAACTTATTTTAATACCTGATAATTTTCTGTGATTCTGTTTCTACACAAAATCAAAATTTCTACGTAAAAATTCTTACTGGATTATTCCAAATCAATCTGTTTCAGTTCAAAGCCTAATTTTAATATTTTTGAATACTAAAATTTTATTCCGAATTAATCTGAAAATAAATTATTTCATACCGAATCAATCCGGTTCCAAAATATTCGTCGGATTCCGTTTTAGTTCAAAAGCCTATAATTTTAATTGAGCTGCCGGATCAAAGAAGGGCGCACATAACTAATGTAATTTAAATGGGTTATATGTGCCCTTTTTTGATCTAGCAGCTCAATTTTTTCGAATACTGAAATTTTAATCCAAATCAATCCGAAACTAAATTTTAATTAGCAAATTATAAAATTGCATTCTGAATAAATCCAAATGATAATAATAAATCCGTTTCCAATAGAATGAATTCGGAACGAAATTTTAGTTTAAAAAATAGTTCCGAAATGAAACGAATTTATTCAGATAAAATGAATGCAAAACCATGTCAAATTGTATATATAAGATATAAAAAGAAGTAATTTTAGAGAATATAGCATAATGTTTTGTTATAAACCTACATTGTTGCTCTCTTGTTATTTTGATTATTATACACAGAATAATGTATGTAAGAGATAACAATGTAATGCCCCTAATTTTGATTATAAAGAAAATTATTAATTATGCACAAAGCTCTAATTAGCAGATTTCCTTTTGTGTATTATCTATATACTGTATTGTATACAATACAGAGAATATATTGTAGTTAGTTGGTCTAAATTATAGAAGCATTATAGTAGTTCAAAATTAAAATCAATATAGAAATTTCAATACAATCTAAGTTATAATTGTTCCTTTACAGTGTGTACAGCGGTTTTACTGAAATGTAAGCAAAATTACCTCAATATAGAAAATAGCATGGCAATTTTGGTGTAAATTGCTACAATTTCAGATGCTGTGGATTTGCAGATACAGTTTGTACTAACCGCAAATCGATACTTTACAATCGAATACAGTTAGAATCTCTGATAATGTTACAGTTGAGTTAAAATTATCAAATACCAATAGTAGCCAAAAATTTTTGTACCAATTTAATACTAACCTATTAATTTAATACCATCAACACTGAAAATGATGATTTGGTTTTGACAACAAAACATTTGCTAAACAAATTCTTATTTAAACCAAATTTTTTTTGTAGCCTCAACAAAAATTTTGGTTGCCTCAACATAACCTAAAACAACAAAATTCCTTTTTATATCTAATTTTGGTATAGTGTCAACCTTGAGACAATGAAAATTAGATCACAGAAAATTAAAAGGCATTAAAATAATTAGGTTTGATTATGACAAAACATTTGGGTTAAGCAAATATTTAAGCAAAATTTTGATTCTCTTAACCAAACTAGTTAAGGCAAAAAAATCCTTTGTATCACAGTTTTAGGCATTAAAATAAGAAGCGTTGCAGCTTATTTTAATGCCTTTTAATTTTCTGTGATACAAAGGATTTTTTTGCCTTAACTAGTTTGGTTAAGGAAATCAAAATTTTGCTTAAATATTTGCTTAACCCAAATGTTTTGTCATAATCAAACCTAATTTCAAGAATAAAATTCCCACTTCCTCCTAAGTATATATACATATACATCAATCACACCAGAAAGTGTGTATGTGGGGCAAAAAGCAAGCCCAAGATTGTATAGACGTGACACGCATAATGCACTATACCCACTCGGTTGGTGACCGATGAAGGTTTCTTCCATTTCCAGTCGTATATATATATATATATAACAATTGTTGAGTCGTGGACCACCCGCAGCTTCCCATTAAAGGAGCCCTTATACGTGGCCAGAGTTAAACTCTTAAAAAAAATATATATAGCTAAACAACTTAAAAAGAACAATTTCTTTTTTTTCTTGAAATGGTCAAAGTCTTTAAAAAAGGTTTTGACCTTTCACTGACTATTAAAATTCAATAAATATATATATATATAGTCTAAAATCATCACTGAATATCGTGAAAAAAAAATTGAAAGCGAAGTTTTTAAAGAATATTTAAAAAAAGAGAAAAAAAAAATTAGGGAATCAACGGAGAATCACATGAGAATTAAGAGTTAAGTCGACGACAAGCCGACCTGAAATACGAAACTCTCTGGCGCCAACAACGGCAGCTTCTAAGCCGTCCTAATAATATCCCATTGTGCTACCATTAGCCACCTAATGCCGCGTTGCTTTAACGCTTGCCATAATGCATTCAGTGGCTCATTTTATGATGAGCTGCATATGAATTGATATCAAAACTCTTAAAGGTTTTGTGTAACGCTATATATAGTCACACGTGCCGACGGTTTTAAACTTGTTGCATTTAATTGATTTTTCGCATCATTTCATTAAAAATATCAATATTGTTTGATACAATACGAGATACATATTTTTAGCTAAACTTTTTGATTAGGATATTTTTATTTGTGGTAGGGAGAAATATAATATTCATGGAAAAAATTTAATCTGATTCAAAAACGTACCAGTTTTTGACCATACTGAAAATTGATATGGACCTTATTAATTTTCGGTATTATTTAGTGCAGCAGAAACTGCTTTGCTTTTAGAACGTACGAATTTTATTTATTTGATATTATTTTGTGTTATAAATTAGTAACATATAGTTTTGCTTTCAGAACGTACCAGTATTTGACCATACTGAAAATTAGCATAAACCTTATTAATTTTTGGTATTATTTGGTATATCCAAAACTAGTACAGCTTTGCCTTCAAAAGGTACAAATTTTATTTATTTTGTATATTATTTGGTGTTAGAAACTAGTACCATGGTTTCGTTTTCAGAATGTACCAGTTTTTGACCATATTAACACTAATTTTTAATATGGTCAAAAACTGATACGTTCTGAAAGCAAACCAAGTACTAGTTTCTAAAACCATCTAATACAGCAAAATTAATATGATCCATACTAATTATTAGTATATGCTTTAAAATTTCAGTGTGCATTCAGAACGTACCATTTTGTGACTATACTGAAAATTAATTTGGATCTTATTAATTTTCAGTAATATTTGGTGCATCAGAAACTGGTACTAGGACTTTATTTTCAAAATTTTAAAATGGGATATTTTTGCTTTTGTATGTAGTATTTGAATGTATAAAAACGTACCAGTTTTTGAATGTATTGAAAATTACTATAGATCTTAGTAATTATCGAATTTATTTAGGGTCAAACACTAGTACCATTTGCTTTCAGAACGTACCAGTATTTGACCATACTCAAAATTAGTATAAACCTTATTAATTTTTGGTATTATTTGGTATCTGGTGTTAGAAACTAGTACCATGGTTTGGTCTTCAGAACGTACCAGTTTTTGACCATTCCGAAAATTGGAAGGGATATTACTTTTTTGTATTATTTAGTATTAAAACTAGTATATACTATAGTTCTGCTTTCACTACCAGATTCTAAAAATACTTAAAATTATTGTAAACTATATTAATTTTCTGCATTATTTGGTCAAAAACTAGTACTACCCTTGTTTTCAGAACGTACCAGTTTCATACAACTAATAATAGTACAAAAAAATACTGTCTCCATTTTTAAATTAATTTTTAAAATACTTCCAATGCAGTTTTATTTAAGTAAACGATTTTAGTTCAAAGTGGGTTGAAATAAAAATTTATTTTTTACAAATAACTAAACTTGGGTGCTAGTAAAATTTTTTTCCATCATTAAATAATTCGTATACAAAATATATGAAAAATTGTCAACTCACCAAAAAAATCTCCATTTAAATAAAACTTGTAGTTACAGATCGTTGTTTGTTCTTCTTTTTGCTGTAACAAAAATGCGACCAATTTTATTTCCCAAATTATAGTTTAAAATTAGACTTATCTTAAAGTAATATTTTTTTTGTATTAGAAATTGTACTATTGGCTTTTTTAGGTAGCAAATAATTTTACCTTTCAGAAAGGGCAAAAAAACTAACACAGAAACAAACAAACCAATTTTTACTAAATATCTGCTTTATTTTTGGCTTAAAATCATGCTATAAATATAGGCTTAAAACAATGCTATGAATAGGCTTCAAATAACACTATTAATAGGCTTAAAATAGGCTTAAAATAGGCTTAAAATAGGCTTAAAAAAGGGTCAAAATAGGCTTAAAATAGACTTAAAAAAGGCTTAAAATAATGCTAAAAAATCCATTTGTCATTCGGAGAAAAAGAAATCGTAAAATCTAACCGGATTAATATAGAACCAACAAATCTGGTTTGTCGTGAAAACAAATTTCTGTTTTCTTAACAGTTTTACTGTTACCACAACAATTTCGCATTGTTAGACGAACAACAAAAAAAATCGTTACAGCAACAAACCAGATTTGTTAGTTCCCCTAACAAACCGATTGTTAGAATCCTTTTTCTCCACGAATCGTATATGCAAACGATTAGGTACAGTGGAGTAAAATCAAGATTTATTTTACAGTTCAATTATTTTCCTAAAAGTCATTTTCCATTTCTGATAAAATAAATATAACAGCAGCAATTTTTTGCGAAATATGCAAAAAAAAAATTTCATAAAATTGAGACGTTATGTAAATAATATATAGATTTTTAAAATCAAATATTGTACAGTTTAGAAAAAGAATTATATTTCTCTGTTTGAATTTGTCAACAGAGGAAAAGAGAAAAATGTTTCTATTTTTTTGTTTGTTTGTTATATCAAAAAGAGGAAGAAAAATTCCGCAAAATGGGATACAAAACTTTCTCTTTCGCAGTTTGAAAGAGAGAAGAGCACTTCTAGATGTACGACGGAAATCAATGTTGGTTTCCTTTTCCAGGGAAATCCATATGGTCTGAAGGATGCAACGGGAATGGGGATGACGGCGGATATGGGAGCTGCATGGGGTACAACGGCACTTCAACCTGCAGCCCCTGGATACGCATACTATGATCCAACGCTTGCTGCTTATGGGTAAGTTAATTAATGATCTCCACTAACAAGTTTAATAATGCTCTCAACAAAGTTTTACACTTTTTTTTTTTTTTTTTTTTCTTTCTCGCGTCGAGTCATTTACACTCTCGTTATTAATCGACTTTTCTTGATGGTGCGATATAAAAAATAATAAATTTACTATTTTAATTAATTATTTTTATTTTAATATATGATTCGTCATCTTTATATTGTTTTCATTATTTTTTCTGTCTGACAAAAAAAAATTGTGAAGAAGGCTTATCATTCCCTCTTTCGTTGAGTAGAAATATATATGCGAGATCTGTCAACACAAGGACCCTTCTTTTCCACTCTCTTCTTCCGGAAAAAGGGATTAAAGAAGAAGAAGAAGAGGAAAAAAAATGAGAGGTGGGGTCCCGCGCGCTCTCTTGATGCTTTTACAACTTAGCCGCGCGCGCGTTCGGTTTCAATTTAAGTAAACACAAATTTATCACCTCGTAATTTTTTTGGAAAGCTTTATTTTATTTTCCTTTAACTTCAAATATCAACTTGGCATTATTTTATGATACCTTGAAAACTACAATTTAACTATACAATGAAAGAAAAATGTGATAGCAGATATAAAACTTGATTCGGAATTAAGAGAGGTGCGTCTGTAATCATTCATTCTTTTATAACTATCTCAATGATTAAAGTGGTTTTATTATTTTAAAACTGTGCTTTCTCTAAACCCAAATTATAACACAGTTTGTAAATTAAAATTATGTTATAGCCAACTGTTTTTTTAGTACAGACAAGTAAAGTAACATCCGTATGGTTAAAAAAATCCTACATTATATGCGGCTGTAACAAAATCGCACAGAGAAAAAAGTTAGCTACTTTTACTAATATTTCGTTACCACAGCTATTTAGCTACTTTAAATCCGATTTCGAATCTGATCCAATAAATTACTGTTTGGATAGCAATTTTTGGTAACTGATACAAATAATAACATATTTTTTGTGACAAATAATTATGAGCTACCATATAAATAAAATATGCTACTATATATATAGCAAACTCATTTTTCTCCATACAGCAATATACCAATGGTCGGATTAGATGATTTTGAAGCACACAACTAACATCCAAAATAAACTGAAGCGCACCCAGTTAATTTTAAACCCAACAGATGCAAATTTTTATGTTATTTTTAAATTAGGCTGAAGAATTCAACGTTAATTCATTATTATACCCAATTAATTCTCTACAAAAACTATTTTTCTCATAGCTAATATACAATAGAAACATCATTTAAACGATTTGAGATACAATTTTAATGCATTTAAACAAAAACTGTTACAATATTATGCTCATAAAAGCATTGTAACAAGGTTATCTGTATTAACGATCGCGCAGTATTGTTTATTAAATTTTGTTCTAATTTTTATCATTACCACTCGAAAGAGCATAAAAAATTATGCTCCATAAGATTTGCACCGCAGTTTAGAAAGTGTTGAAAAATCAGAATGGAAATAAAATTAAAGGTTTTTAAACATTAACGAGATAATGTTTTTCAGCGTTTATTAAAATTTGTTCCAATTTTTATCATTACCAATCGAAAGAGCATAAAAAATTTTACCTCGCAAAATCCATAAGATTTGTACACTGAGAAACATATGCTATTGAATGCATATGCATTTCTGCTAAAGGCATAAAAATTATTGATTCTGAAGCATATGCCATAGAATTTGTAAAAATATAATTATATAGATTCTACAGCAAATGTTTTTGAATCAATAATTTTTATGCCTTTGGCAGGAATGCTGTTGATTCAATATCACAGAAAATTAAAAGGCATATTAAAATAATAAGCGTTGCAGCTTATTTTAATACCTTTTAATTTTCTGTGATAGCATATTTTTCTCAGTGCACCAATTCAGTATATAATATATATATATATACAATTTATTTTTCTCACAGAAAAAATGGTGGATAAATTTTGTTGCGGGTAAAATTATAAATTTAAACAATGCTAACATAGACCCTCAACTAGGATAAAATTTGTTGCAGTTAATTTTTATACCGATTTTTGGGGTAAAAATTCGACTTTTTTTGGCTCCGTGTTAACAGTTTCACTATGAAATTAGTCAGAATTACTGTAAAGATTCTATCAGTTATAAAATGTCAACCAAGTGGTAAAATCACTATTGAGATTGTAGTATAATAATTTGTTTCACAAAATTTTGAATTACCTATTTTCGCATTATAACAGTAGAGAATTGTATTTATATATTATATTTTCAAACGTAGTTCATAAATCTATATAGCTTTACTCCAAAGAAAACAATGCGTCTTCAATAGAAAAGAATTGGATCTAAAAGTGATTTTTAGATTCCAATTCTTGTTGTGCGTTTTTTTTTTACCTTTGGATTCGACATAAAATTCTTGATTTCCTGATAGTTGAAGATCAAAGGATGAAATCCTTTATTGGATCGTGGGGATGAACATGTCGAACGTGTTACAGACGAACGGTTACAAAATGGCTGTATTCAGTTAAGAGAGACAGAGACAGAGAGAAATGTAATGAACAAGAAGGAAATACAGAATGAGAGAGAGATGGAGAGAGAGCTGAGTGGGCGTACATAATGGAGGCTTCTAGCTTGGGTAGGCACTTGCAAGTGCAGGAGGAATATAGGAGTGTGATGGTGGAAGTAATAGTGGCAATGGTAGTAGTATACGTCTCTTCGTAGGAGAGCTAGTGAGTGAGTTTATTGATTGGCTTCCTCCGGGGTTCTCTCCTCGTACTCTCTTTGCCATGCCTCTCTCTCTCTCAACACTTGTGCTCTTTACCATTGCCTCTCCTCTTCTTTCCATCTCCCACTTTTCTTTATTGCTTTTCATTTTTACAATTTTTCTTGTCATTAAGTCGACTCCCACAGGTGCTTTGCTTCAGTAATAGTAGGATTTTGGTAAAGATATAGTAAGATTTTAGTAAATACAGTAAGATTTTAGTAAAGACAGTAAGTTTCTAGTAAAGATAGTAAAGTATACAAGACTATCAAAATTTCGAATATGTAAAATAAAATTTCCCCTAATAAGAAAAAGAATCCCAAGGGGAATTATATATGATGGAAAATGGTGAAAGCCGTTTTGGGTGTGATATGTATATAAGTTATTCTGGGCAAGACAAAATCGAGAGGGTTGTGTGGATTCAGAGTGTAGGCATTGTTTATTGTGGAATATCCACCCTTTGGCCTGCACCTCGTCTGGTATAACCTGGCAAAGCCTCTCCACGATCCTCTATTAATTTACTTGCTTAATACTCCTCTACTCTTTCCCTCATTCGTTCCTCCTTTGTATATATATAACATGACGAGACCCCTCTTTTAAACACACACACACATATATATATTTCCTGAACCCTCTTGAATCCATTGTTTTAATGTCTAAAGGAAAATATTTAATTGAAACATTTCTTCTTTTATCATAAAATGGTCTAGGAAACAGAAAGGTTTAGAAATAATAAAGTTTAGGTATTGAACACAATAAGGTTTGGGAAAATGTTTTAAGGAAAAATGTTTCAAGGAAGTAAAATTATTCGAGAAAATATGTTATATGTTATGAATAACACATACTGTATTAGCCTCAAATTGAAGTTTTTATAGGAGATTTAGAAAAGGGAAGGTTTTTGGTCGATATTTTTTCTTTCGGGTCCTCGTAAATGTCGTCTCGGTGCTATTTTCCAGGGCTCTCCTCCTGTAACAGTCGAGGGGGCTATTCAAGAAAGACGTCATCCCTCATGAAAAATAAAAAAAAAAAAAAAAACCCCTTCGTTTGCACACGCGCATCCGAGTCCCTTTTACTTTTGCACTCTCATTTTTGTGCGGCCGTGACGGCACCCCTGCGCTTTCCTTTTCACTTTTTCTCTCACCATTTCCTATATCATATGGCCAGCGACGACCTTTGAATCTATAAATAGATATACGTCAAAATTTCTCCCAAAAAATTCTCATACCCCAATATAGTAACGGATATTTCAGAATTAGGAAAAACCCTAGGAAATTTGGTACAGAAATTAGCATTTTAGGATAACAAATTTTGGTTAAAATAACTAGAATTCTGGTTATAGGATAACTAAAATTCTGCTTACGCTAACTAAAATTCTGGTTAAGATAACAAATTTTATTTAGAATAACTAGAAGTTTGGTTACAGGAACTAGAATTCTGGTTAGAATAACTTGAATTTTAGTTAGGATAACTAAAATTCTAATCAGGATAACAAAAATTTTGGGTTACGATAAATAAAATTCTAATTAGGATAACAAAAATTTTGGTTAGAATAACTAGAAATTTGGTCACAGGAACTAGAATTCTGGTTAAAATAACTTGAATTCTGGTTAGAATAACAAATTTTGATTAAAATAACTAGAAATTTGGTTAGAGTAACTAGAATTCTGGTTATAGGATAACTAAAATTTTGCTTACGTTAACTAAAATTCTGGTTAAGATAACAAATTTTAGTTAGAATAACTAGAAGTTTGGTTACAGGAACTAGAATTCTGGTTAGAATAACTTGAATTTTAGTTAGGATAACTAAATTCTGGATATAATAACTAGAAGTTTGGTTACAGGAACTAGAATTCTGCTTATAATAACTAGAATTCTCTTTAGATCTAGTAGAATTCTAGTTAGAGTCACTAGAATTCTGGTTAGAATAATTCAAATTTTGGTTACGATAAATACAATTGTAATCAGGATAACAAAAATTTTGGTTACGATAACTAAAATTCTAATTAGGATATCAAAAATTTTGGTTAGAATAACTAGAAATTTGGTCACAGGGACTAGAATTCTGGTTAGGATAACTAAAATTCTGGTTAGAAACACTAAAAATTTAGTTACAGAAACTAAAATTCTGACTAAGATAACAAATTTATAACCTATATCATATGGCCAGCGACGACCTTTGAATCTATAAATAGATACGTCAAAATTTCTCCCAAAAATTTTCATACCCCAATAGGATATTTCAGAATTAGAAAAAACCCTCGGAAATTTGGTACAGAAATTAGCATTTAGAACATATCCGTTACTGTATTGGACTTTTGATAATCTTTTCGCAATAAACAAAATACTTGTTTCAATTTTTACAAAGTGCGAGAATAAAAAAAAACCCCCCAAGGTCGCATTCCTTCACATCGGATCACTAATAGCCAACTGGAACCCAATAAAGGAAAGCTGATTTTCCAGTTACATCTAATTGGTACAGTACTTTCCATTTTTTTTTTTCAACTAATATATATTTCCTTAAATAATTTTTTACTAAAACCGGTTGAAAATAAGAAATTTTCGAAACTAATTTTTATTCCTCCAATATATATTCCGGTTTGGATTATCTAATTTACTGGATCAATGAGGGAACGTTCCTAGGGAAATGAGGGAAAATCATCTCTTGGGAATTGCGTTTCGTGGATTAATGCGCATGTCAATGGGACTTGTCTGTCGAAATGAAGGTTCCAGCATTGCATGTTTAATGCAGATGCGCGCGTGTGAGCAAATGGCCGTCGAATATATATATATAGAGAGAGGAAGGTAGAGAGGATTAGATTGGCTCATACGATAGAGGATTGGTATCTGAATACCTCCGTTTGCACTTCCGGACGATCTAGTAACCGTCGAAGGTACCACTATATACATAGACGACGTAATTACGCGCGTTCTGCCAATATTGGTTAACCTTTCGAGGTTGACGCCACCATATGCAAAGCCCCTAATGAGTAGCTCAAGTATCTTCGCTCTACTATAGAGCCCTCCATTCTGCTACTCCATATCGTTATATTACTACCTATTCGCCCCTACCAACATTTAAATATTCCAGAATTTTAATTTAACTGAAAAATTACAAAAAAAAAACTCTTTTTTACAACCCCCAAACAGAATCTATTACGATTTTGATATAATAAAGCTAATATTTTGATATTCTCATCTTGATTGGTGAAGAAAGATGCGTATTTGTATTCCCCTAAACGAGACCTATCAGAGGGGGAGTAATCGGTAGCTTCATTATGGTTTTTTTTTTTTTTGCTTTTTTTTTGCCGAAGCAAATAATCCCTCGTGGTGCAACACAATGGCGGCAATCGATTCACCGTTCCGAGGCCTCAGGCGTTTTTCGCTTTTTTCTTTCACCCTCTTTTCCCTCTCCCTTATATATACTATGGCACTTTCGTGCAACGCGGTTTTATTGGAAAAGGAGAACGACGAGATCCATGCGGAGGCCGCCTTTCCCTTGTCTGAAGGGAGTTTAATAGAGGGTGAAACCATCTCAACCCCCTCCCACCGCAGTCTCTATATATATATATACCCTTCCCATATAACCGCACCACCTTACTTCGTTTCTTTTCGCAAGCTTCCTTATATACCACAATCCTGTGCTGCCTTCTTCTCGCTTTGGTTTTTTTTTTTAACTCTCTCTCTCTCTCTCTGTTATCGGAAATCTCGACTACTGGACTCTGGGCTCCATATATAATGGAAACAAAATTTTAACCTTTTCAATTTCAACGAGATTAGACCCAAGGTCTCTTGCAACCTGATTCTTATCTTGTTTTGGAATATCTTTTATATGCCACTAAAAAAAAAAAAAAAAATGTTTGGTTTTGTTGTTAACAGCTTTCTACTTCTCATAACACGATAATAAACAATCTGAACTGAATTTTTTGTCTTGGAAAAGAATGTTCTTTTGGAAATTTGTTGTGCGGGTATTTTAGTTAAAGTTAAAACTGGTGTATACTGGACAAAATGACTGGTACGAGTAAGTGAGAGTTTGGCTATGATAACTAGAATTCTGGTTAGAATAATTAAAATTATGTTTACGATAACTAAAATTCTGGTTAGGATAACAAATTTTGGTTAGAATAACTAGAAATTTGGTTAGAGTAACTAGAATTCTGGTTATAGGATAACTAAAATTCTGTTTAAGATAAAAAATTTTTGTTAGAATAACTAGAAGTTTGATTACAGGAACTAGAATTCTGGTAAGAATAACTTGAATTTCAGTTAGGATAACTAAAATTCTGGATATAATAACTAGAAGTTTGGTTACAGGAACTAGAATTCTGCTTATAATAACTTGAATTCTCGTTAGAAAAAGTAGAATTCTAGTTAGTCACTAGAATTCTGGTTAGAATAATTAAAATTATGTTTACGATAACTATAAAATTCTGGTTAGGATAACAAATTTTAGTTAGAATAACTAGAAATTTGGTTAGAGTAACTAGAATTCTGGTTATAGGATAACTAAAATTCTGCTTACGCTAACTAAAATTCTGGTTAAGATAACAAATTTTATTTAGAATAACTAGAAGTTTGGCTACAGGAATTAGAATTCTTGTTAGAATAACTTGAATTTTAGTTAGGATAACAAAAATTTTGGTTAGAATAACTAGAAATTTGGTCACAGGAACTAGAATTCTGGTTAAAATAACTTATTGAATTCTGGCTATGATAACAAAAATTTTGGTTAGAATAACTAGAAATTTGGTTACAGGAACTGGAATTCTGGTTACAATTACTAGAAGTTTGGATACAGAAACTAAAATTTGGGTTACAGGAACTGGAATTCTGGTTAGAATAACTAGAAGTTTGGATACAGAAACTAAAATTTTTGTTAGAATAACTTAAATTCTGGTTAGGATAACTAGAATTCTGGTTAAAATTACTAGAAGTTTGGATACAGAAATTAAAATTCTGGTTAGAATAACCAGAAGTTTGGATACAGAAACTAAAATTTTTGTTAGAATAACTTAAATTCTGGTTAGGATAACTAGAATTCTGGTTAAAATTACTAGAAGTTTGGATACAGAAACTAAAATTGTGGTTAGAATAACTAGAAGTTTGGATACAGAAACTAAAATCTTGGTTAGAATAACTTAAATTCTGGTTAGGATAACTAAAATTCTGGTTAAAATTACTAGAAGTTTGGATACAGAAATTAAAATTCTGGTTAGAATAACTAGAAGTTTGGATACAGAACCTAAAATTTTGGTAAGAATAACTTAAATTCTGGTTAGGATAACTAAAATTCTGGTTAAAATTACAAGAAGTTTGGATATACAGAAACTAAAATTCTGGTTAGAATAATTAGAATTCTTTATAGAACAACTAGAATTCTGATTAGAGTATCTAGATTTAATTTACGGATTCGTAATCACGAAAAATATTATCAGAATATAGCACTGTACAGTTTATTTATAATTTGTATTTGTAATATTTTCACTTATACATAAATAAATTTCGTATAAATTGACAATTGTAATACACTTCCAAAAGCAAATTGACATTTGTTGCGCCAAATCAAATTTTTTTAGATGATAATACCTATACAATAAAATAATATGAAAATCTGTTTTGACATCACATATACTGAATGGAGTAAAATATCTGGAAAATAGACTACTACTAGCAGCAGTATATATAGAGTTGGGGGAGAAATATTGCAATGGGTTGGAAATGTAGGATGGATTGTCGACTAGTATATATTATGGTAGGTACTCACAGAGAGCAGTGCTATGGGTGAAAGAGTGCAGAGAATGAGGTGGAGGGGAATCGATCGGATCGCCATTACAGAGAGTGAGTGCAGAGTAAGAGAGAAAGAGAGAGAGAGACTCGATGGAATCACGCCGCCGCGCCGTTGGGGCTTTATTCTCCGTATATATTTTGCTGGCGTATCTCAACCCTCGCCCCTTTTGTAGGATGTCGTCCTTGTTTTTTAGCTAAGGGAGAGAGAAAGAGAAAGAGAGAGAGAGGGGGGGATAAACAAAGGGAGAGAGTGAGATTTGAGTTAAAACTAGAAAAGAGAGAAAGGCGACAAAGTTTAGGCAATAAGGGGCGTGCACAACTTGCCTTTAACGCAACTCACGCATCGACGAGTTTCATCCAGATTTTCCCAAAGCCCCTTGGGGATTCAACCAGATTTAGATATATCTTGAGAAATGTATCGTTTTCAAAAAAAAGATTATTTATTCACTTTTTATCCTTATTATTCTTATGTTCTTCTTTCTTAATTAATTCGTAATTTTTCGTGTATATATTCTAATTAAAAATTCAATTTTTGTTTTAGTTATGGTGCTAGTTATGATATGGCAGCGAGAAGAAAAAATGCCACGAGAGAATCAACGGCAACATTGAAAGCATGGCTTAATGAGCACAAGAAAAATCCTTATCCAACAAAAGGTGAAAAAATAATGTTAGCTATTATCACAAAGATGACATTGACCCAGGTGTCAACATGGTTTGCAAATGCAAGGAGACGTTTAAAGAAGGAGAATAAAATGACCTGGGAACCAAAAAATAAAACTGACGACGATGACGATGCTGTTTTATCAGATTCGGAGGATGTTAAGGAAATGAAGGAAGAAATGGGTGACAGTCGGAGTGATAGAGTGGGTGATGAAGTCAGAAGAGGTCTTGATGACAATGGTAAGCTCGTTTAATTACTTTTAATAATAATTGTTACTTAAAAAAAAAAAATTTAACATTGTTTTCTCTTCACATATTTGTTAAATCATGAGTGACGGATGAGTATAAACCTCGTTTGTCAACCTATCCGTTTAATAGCCAATCAAATTCAAATCAAAGCATAATTAGATTTCACCAAGCGATATATATAACTCAATCGGAAAACCGTCACATTGCTCTTGCTCGCTAATTTGCTTACGAAATAGACTGTAAACTAGTCACATATATTAAGTGATCAATTCTCCACTCGATCAAAAAACCTGTTTAATTAAAGATGTTTACAATTTTCATTTAAATATATAATTAAAATTTATTTGAAAAATTATAAATCTAATTTGTGATGGTAATAATTTATTTCCTCTATATAGACACTTTCCCTCCATGTGGTCGATAGTCCGGAAATTGCGAATATGCAAGATTTGGAATGAATATCCGTAGCGTCTATATCGCGGGGGCGGACATAATGGTTCACATGTGGGTAAACACAGTGACGGGTTGCGGGTTGCCGCGCGAAGAGATTAATGGCCTTCGGTTTGGTCCCCTGGTGGACTTGGACGACGACGTCGACGATGTAGTTGATGGTATTGGTGGATATAGCATCGTTCCAGAGTGGTGGTGTTGAGGGTGCGGTCGAGTTTGAGTAGCCATCCGTAGGACCAATATACACTCTGTCCACGGCTCTATATACTGCCAGATTTACTATATATACACGAGAATACCGTAGTAGATGTGTATAGATACTCTGGCACTGGTTCGAGGTATACGGTGATGTATCGGCGCCCGCGGCGAGACGAATGGTATAGACCCTCTTCTATAGCCTGCATTATACCCCACCACACATTGGCCAATATCGGTTCGTTCCTGGCACCTGGTTTTCATACAAATCAATTTATACTCCAGAAAAGACGCCTTCATTAAAGAAATGTAACAAACCGAAATTTTTGTTTTATTAAATAATTTTAAATACGCAGACAAGAGTTGGTTAGAAGCTATATACACAAAGATCGAAACAATTATAGATTTTGAATTATAATCGGTGAACAATTATTCCGTGGAATGTTACAATTAGGATGCAATGAACCATACATCTGGTATACCAGTTCCTGTTTAAGAACACAGCAGTGGTCTTTTTTCATACATCTCACTACTAAATTTTTAAATGGAATTTCCTTTATTTCCAAGACTGGTTGCTTCAGGATTCACTCTTTCAAAGATCAATTTTATAACTTTAAATGTTTGTCTAAACTTCCATTTGCTTGGACTTTGGCCAATATCGGTTCGTTCCTGGCACCTGGTTTTCATACAAATCAATTTATATACTCCAGAAAAGACGCCTTCATTAAAGAGATGTGGCAAATCCAAATTTTTGTTTTATTAAATAAAAATAATTTTAAATACGCAGACAAGAGTTGGTTGGAAGCTATATACACAAAGATCGAAACAATTATAGATTTTGAATTATAATCGGTGAACAATTATTCCGTGGAATGTTACAATTAGGATGCAATAAACCATACATCTGGTATACCAGTTCCTGTTTAAGAACACAGCAGTGGTCTTTTTTCATACATCTTACTACTAAATTTTTAAATGGAAATTCCTTTATTTCCAAGACTGGTTGCTTCAGGATTCTCTCAAAGATCAATTTTATAACTTTGTGTAAACTCCCATTTGCCTGGACTTTGGCCAAGGGATTGATAGAAAACCTCTTCAAAGATCAGATTGGATTTAATTAAAAAAAAAAGAAACTAATCTAGTGGTTGACAATTTGAATTTTCAAGGGGTATATATAAGACGAATTAGGTTTGTAAACTCATGTAAGCGGAGGCGTAGAAAAGGTATTGACTAGGAGAAGTAGATCATGCGATTAGCGTCTGATAAAAGAGGGTCAAAAGTTAAAGAGCCACTTGTGGACTTGGCAGTAGTATCAGTTTAGTTGGTCCATAAGGCTCTCTTTATAAGGGGTATTGCAAGCTCCCTAAAACTTTTACCACTTTCTGTTCTTGTTTCTCTTCACAATTTCTCTCTCTATCTATCTCTCAGTTTCATTCTCTGTGTGTATAGAGTTTGGTCGCCCTTTCTAGCTTGGGAATTATCGCTTGACGACCCATCAAGTAAACCCTCTGCCGACTCATTCGAACCTCTTAATGAAATTCTCACCCCTGACTGACTGGCTGGCAGGCAGACGGCCCAAGCAGTCCTAGAGTGCCCCGAGAGGGATAGAGAACAAGAGGAATAAAGAAGGAAGGATTCACCAGAGAGAGAGAGAGAGAGAGAAGAGAGCCACTCGAGGGTTGCTGAAATCTCTCGCGCCCCAAAGTGGTTGCAGACTTCGCCCCCTTTTTTCACAGCATCCCTTGTAGCTTAACTATATAAGGGTGTGAAAGGAGACACTCGCTATATAAAACTTTCCTTCTCAATGTCTATATAACCCCATAATGACACGCATTCTGGGTCTCACTTTCACACCAGAAAATGTAGCCCATTAACGTCAATATTGCCCGAAGGGAGTCGAAATTACCTTCTTGAAGAATTATTAATCATAATTAATGAACAGTTAAGAAAGTTTTTACAGCTTTTTTCGTATATATATATGACAAGTATCAGCCGTCGGATCTTTATCGGATTATTCCTTTTTAGAGGTCACGTGCCATTAACGGGTTGTGCCACAACCGAATTTATTAATATAAGCCGTTGATGACATTAATTTTTTGAATTGACTCATCATATTTGTTCACAGAACCAATGAGGCATGTGAAAGCAGAGCACATGAAGATTGATAAAGATCTAGACGAAGATGACGATTTAGATCTTGAGGACGATCCAAGAAGAAGTGAACATTCTTTTCATCATGCGATGCACCATCATCATCATCAGGGTTTCAATAGCGAGGATCATCTCAAAGAAGAAGGGATTAAAAGTGAATGTGGTGCCGGTGGTATTCCTATTCCAGCAACGAAACCTAAAATTTGGTCTTTAGCTGACACGGCAGCGTGTAAAACACCTCCTCCACCTTCTCATCCTCATCATCAACAACAATATCATTTACATCATCAGCAACAACATTACAATCAACAGCAACATCATTTATCCAATCAATCCCATCATCACCATCATCATCATCATTCTCAACAACCGTGGCTTGGCTCAAGTGGAATGGGTACCGCACCAAGTGGAGGTGGTTTAACTTCCTTTGCACTTCCAACATCGGCAACAATGAGTCCATCGTCTGCTGCCACTGCACCATATTCCGGTGCATCAACAAGATACGGTGGATTTTTATCGTCTTCCTCCGGTGGACAACTTCACTATAATCCCAATTCCTCATCTGGTTCAACGTCAAGTGCTTCGTCATCAGCGGCGGCGGGGTTTCCCGAAGTTGGTACAGATACCCCACCCCAAACACCTCCCAACATGAAGGTGGGTACACCGAATGGAGTGATCCAGGGCCCTCCAACAGGGTACTGCCCTGGTGGCAACAACAACAATAATAACACCAGTAATGGCAATCTCAATCACTATGGATCTAATAATGGATATCTGTCCACAAGTTCAGGATCGTCTAGCAGCGTTTCTTCCTTCAGTTCACGTCTTCAAAATTCGCCGCACAAGGAATTCTCACCTACCACGCAGAATTCGATACTCCATCAACATCAAACCACTGCTAGCCTCCCACCCACGGAAGCCACCACGGCCTTCAAACCTTTCTACAAAGGGTAAGAAGCATTTTTAAAAACTTTCAACTGTGATTTATCAAAATTCTTTTTTTTTTTTATTCCCTCCGATTTATGGCTCCATTCAACTCTTGTTTTAGGTCACAAACCATGGGAAGTGGATTCGTGTCTCCAGTTTAAGGATATAAACAAGCACCGACCAACGCATCTTCCAAGGTTTGTTTTTTTTTTTTCAATTCTTAGTTACTCTAGTTATTTGCTTAGTATAAATGATTTCTATCTTCTGGCGCATATATACATTAACACGCGGTGAAATGCGCAGTACAATAATTTATTTTGCCATTGAGTAAAAAAATAAAATAAATAGACATAAGAGAGACAAGGCACGAAGGTAGGTCGTTTCAAGCAACGGTACACAGTGTGTTTTATCCGATCACGATCAGTCACGGTCCACGATTGACTGCCCTGAAACCAGCAGAGCTCAACTCGCCTCCAAAGTCGAACGGACACCTTAAAACAATCGATAAGGAATTAATATCCGGCCGAGTTGATTGGTCGTTAGTCCCTGGGCCTGCGTCGAAATAATAATGGTATTGAGTAGCGTGTGGGTAGTCTGCGGGCAAAGAGAGAGAAAGAGAGAGAGAGAGAGAGGCTATCGCCACCTTCTTGACAGTAACAAATGGACGGAGATTTCAATCAGTGAATGGAATCACCACTGGTTCGCCTCGTCCCTCGATCTTCTTCCACTTGCTTCTTTCTTACAATTCCTTTCTCTCTTGCACATTCTCTTTTTCTCTCTCTCTCTCATCCAACTATTCCACTCGAACACACCTCGACCTGTCGCGTTAGTGACCGACCAAGTCACTCGATTCGTGTTGGCCACTATCTTCTCACGAAATAAAAAGTCAGGCCTAAGCTTATATATGCAAATAAAAACGATGAAGAAATAGACACATTCGAGTAGCTTCATGCAAAACAAATCAATTCCTTTTATATATATATATATTTTTAAGGGAAAAAAAAATCTTCCATTAATAAGATAAGGAAATTGATTTGTTGGAATTAATTTCACATCAAGGTTAGAGAAATTAACATTTATTGGGATTTTACATTTCATCTATTGTTCTGGTATTGTTTTTATTGTTTTAAAATTATGACAAAAATGTAAAGCAGTTTGATGCAAAAATCCGTTGGATTTTAGATCCTAGTTTCACAGAAAATTAAAAGGCATTAAAATAAGCTGCAACGCTTATTATTTTAATGCCTTTTGATTTTCTGTGTTTCGAATTATACATTGAGAAAAATATGCTATTGAATCAACAGCATTTCTGCCAAAGGAATAAAAATTATTATTGATTCAAAAGCATATATGCTGTAGAATCTGTGTATAATTTTTTTACAAATTCTATATAGTTCAGAATCAATAATTTCTATGCCTTTAGCAGAAATGCTATTGATACAATAGCATATCTTTCGTAGTTTAAAAATTACTTTGATGATTCTTCACAAGAGAAATTATCACTAAGTAATAATAATTATTCGGTAATAATTTTTCTGTAAAGAATCAGGAAAATAATTTTGATAAAAGTATAAATGAACTTGTAGCAGAGGTTTCCAAAGTATTTACGTTTTTGAAAATGATTTAGTACACGATTGTTGGGAAGAAATAATGAAAATTATGCCAAAAATTCAAAGCACCGTTTTATTTGGTGAAGGTTTGATGAAAAATCCGTTAGATTTAAGAACCTAGCTGATTTTGTTTTTGGATTATTATAAAAATCATTTTCCACGATGCTTTACAGAAAAAAATTTTGATAAGAATATAAATGAATTTGTAGCAAGTTTCCAAAGTATTTACCATTTCGAAAATGGTTTAGTATACGGTTGTTGGGAAAAGACGATAGAATTAAATTGACGACAAAAATGCAAAGCACAGTTGTATTTAAATGATGTTTAATGAAAAATCCGTTGCGGATTTAAGAACCTATATAGCTGTTTTCGAATTAGAAAAACCTTTTTCCTGATTCTTCACTAAAAGTATTATTACTCAGTAATAATTATTCAGCACTGCGAAAAATATGCTATTTCTGCTAAAGGCATAAAAATTATTTATTCCAAAGCATATGCTAAAAGAATTTGTAACACAGAAAATTATATAAATTCTACAGCATATGCGCTTTTGAATCAATTTTTCTATACATTTGGGCAAAAATGCTCTTGATTTAAAAGCAAATTTTTCTCACTGCTGAATAATTTTTCTATAAAGAATCAGGCAAATAATTTTGATAAAAATATATCCGTATTAATAATTTGAAAACAATCAGCAAGGCTTTTAAATCCAAAGGATTTTTCATCAAATTACCAAATACAACCGCTGCCTTAAATTTTTGTGGTAATTTTAATTCCGTTAAATTTTAGTTTTATAAACGTATAATTTTAAGGTAAAATTTTGTTACCAATTTCTTAATTTGTATACCGTGTGTTACCAAACTGTCTTTTCTTGTTCTCCTGCACACAAAAGATTGTGAATTTTTCCTGAGCTTAAAATTCGTTTCTGCCTTAAGAGTGATTTTCCAGAGAATCTTATATACTCGAGAGAATTGCCAAAGATGGTATGAGAGAGAGAAAAGGAGAGTGAGCAGTTATCAGTGTCGGTTTGGGCAATCGTTAAAGTGCCTTTGGGAAACCGAAGACTTCATCCCAAGTCACACCAAAAGGCAAGAGAGGAGGATGATGAGGCTTTCCGAAACGACTACCCTCGTTTCCTTACAAACGATTCCCTGGATTCATCTTCAGGGTTTATTCTCGATATCCCCCTGGCTCTCGCCTTCAAGTCTCTCGCTCTCCCCCTGACTTTTCCTAAGATTCTTCGCAACAGTTGCTTTTCTACCCTTATTCTCAATTAGTTTACTTATAAATTAAATTCCAATTAGGTTTTACCGCGTATACCATTCAATTCTTTTTTTTTTTCTTCATTAAAATTTACAAAATAAATATTTCCTGCAAGATTTGGATGGGAGATATATAATAGAATAGATTTAGCGCGTGATCTCTGTGATACGAAATTATTCCAGGTGGACGCCTTTGTCGGCCTTAACCCGATACTCCTCAAGTTTTCGAAATGTAGAAAGAAGGACAAGGCAGTATAGCATTTTCTAGCGTGAATGTAAAGTGTTTAAAAAAGAAGGAAGGTGAAAGAATTAAAAAAAAAGAAAAAAAAAGGAACGTCAGATTTCGGGTCTTGGAGACGTGGTGTTACTGGGACCACCTTATCTGGTGGCGATCTGATCCTAATTTATAGCCAGGTCCCAAATAAACTAGTTTTCGCTGTCGTCACCTTGCCTTGCTTTTCGGTCTTCGTCTCGTCTCTCATTCTGTATACATTTCAGACTGGTTGGGTTGTCGTGGTTTTCGCCTCGTGCGTCCCTCATATAGTCCAATATAAACTCTAAAACTTTAGATGCACCAACGACTCCAACCTGTCTCTCTTCTCTGCCTTGATTTCTTGGTCCAGGTAACCACTAATACAAACACACACTTTTATACCAAATGCTACCTGATGGTGGAACCAAAAATAAAAAAAAAAAAAAAAAAAAATATAAAACCTCAACGCCCATGGTAATTGCCAATTAGCTCGCTGGATATTTAATTGCCATTAGAGTGGGTGGAGTGTTTTGGTGCTTGGTGGTCGTTCATGATACGTTATCCTCCCGTCACTTTCCTGGTCGCACCTCCTAATGGGATATTTACAGAACGCCCTTTTCGAATTGAATTAACCTTTTATTTCTTTTTCTCTCCTTTCGAGAAAGATAAAAAAAAAGATTGACAATAAGATCCTTTAAATGATGATCGGCTTGCATTTATTACCATTTAGTGATACAGGTGAGAAAATTCGAAAAAAAAACCATTATTCGAAGCTGGGAACAATCGATATGGCAATAGAGCCGAATTTGCACATTGTCATTCGAAGCGCAGGCATTTAACGACAGAACAAACGGTGATGGATGGCCCCAAACAAAAAAAAAAAAAAAAAAAAAGAAAAAAAAACGAGAAAAATCACCGAGTTAAATGAAAACTTGGTGTTCCCAGGACCGATTGCTTTTTAATGCGCAACTGCGAATCACAAAACGATTGCGTATGACGATATTTCATGAATGCTCGTTCACTCGAAACCTGCTACAAAAAAAAATTACTATACACATTGTCGTGATTCAATAAACGGTTATACAGTGCCTTTATTTTCGAAATTATTATTTAATTACGATGGTTGGAATAAAAGAATTTTTTTTATTATTTTTTGCCTAAACAATTTTATTTAATTTTTTTTTTCTGAATTAAATATTTTTATTATTATTAGCTTTTTTTAAAAATATTATTATTAGCATTGAAATCATAGAAAATTTAAAGGTATTAAAATAAGCTGCAACGCTTATTATTTTAATTCAATTTTGCTTATTTTAATACCAAAATGGATTAAAATAAGTAAAATTGGATTAAAATAATAAGCTTATTTTAATGCCTTTTAATTTTCTGTGTATTGTATACACGGGGAAATTAGTTTTACTTTCAAAAATTGAATTATTTATATATTCTTCGATCATTATTGAAACGCTTGCAACGTTTGTTTCTCGATCGTTACACTTAATGTAACGGACCACCCAGAGCGGAAACTTTTTTGCACGCATTATTCACTATTCTCGAGCTCATTCATGAAAAAAAAAATATCGTCATTTTTATAATCGTTAAAACTGCTTTAACAATTGTTAACTGCAAACAAACAAAAAACCAAGCATTTTACTTAAATAAATTAAAGTTTTTAGAAAGGTAAAATAGACGGAAAAAAAAAATTTTTGTGTCAACCTATAACTCCACTTTTAGGATTGGACAAATTGTACTGTAAACAAAAAAAATAATGTTTCCAACAGGCAGGTTTGGATATTTTCTAAAATTAGCTGTTTTGTGGAGACTACAACTACAGTTTGTAGATAACACAAGAAATTTTTTTTTTCTCCTTTATAATGTTAGGCGAGGGGGAATTTACTAGTTAAAAACGTGTACACTTGACTACTGGTATTACACCTCATATTATCCTTATTACTAAGTATTACACGTTATTACAGAGTATTACACATTATTATAGTGATATTACAGAGTTTTTTGCGTTATTACAGCACTGTAATAACGCATTATTACACGCCCAGGTGCAACGATTCTAT